GAAAAAAAATAAATAAACAAATTTTCAAAAATCGATGCCATTTCGCGTTTGGAAGCTTCAACTTATAAATAGGAACACAGAATGTGTGAGGAGTTATACAAAAACAACAGCAGATAAATTGGATAATGTATAAAAATTGGAATAAACACTATCTTCAGAGTATTACAAATGAAATTAAATAATATGAAAAAAGAAATAAAAAAAAAATTAACTATCTCTTTTATTGACTATCTCTTTTGAAAAAAATCTCTTAATTTTAAATAAAATATAATATTGAAAATTAATTCCAATTTTTTAGTAAAAATTTTTAATTTTATATTTCAAAATTAAAATTTTTTTTATACTACGATATCTCAGCATAAAAAAAAATTCAAAAAAAGATTTTACATATTTATTTCTGTTACGATTGTTATTATATTGATATAAATTGTATATATAAGTATAGTATACTATAAAATTATATATTCGAACAAAAAATTTTAATGTCAGAAATTTTAGGAGAATATAATCTAAGAAAGAAGTAAAAACATTAAATTGTTATTTTCAAGAATATAAATTTTTAAAAGACATAGCCTGTGTTTATCAGCGGATAATATATTAAAAATCTATATTAAAAATCAATTTTTAAATTTTTAATAATGTTATATACATCCCGTGTACACATGTATTTTAATATATATTCAAGAGCATGATTTCTAATCAAAATATGCATCTTACTTGTCTTCTTAGTAGATGAAAATATTGAGCAGGTGTTGTTGGATTTGTCACGTGCATGTTAACATTATCACCATCAGGTTTATCTTCATTACTATCTGTAAGTTGTAGAAATCTTTCAAGTCTACAGGAACTATGTTCAGGACCAGCACCATCGTAACCATGTGGTAGTAATATCGTTAGTCCGCTATTTAGCATCCATTTTGCCTCACCACTGCTTACAAAGGTATCGATCATTATCTGAGCTCCATTAAAAAAATCTCCAAATTGTGCTTCCCATATCGTCAAAGTAGTTGGCAGAGCTATACTTATACCATATTCATAGCCTAGAACTGCTTCTTCGGATAATATACTATTTGCTAATTCTAATTTTCCTGTTTGTCCATCAACCATGGAATTCAATGGAATATGTATTTCTAAAATCATAATTAACATAATCTTATTATTATATAATTTAAAATTAAAATTATTTTTTGAATACCTCCAGTAGATTGGTCAACTAGCATTGCATGTCTGTGAGAAAACGTTCCACGACCTATGTCTTGTCCACTTATTCTGACATTATATCCTTGATACAATAAAGTTCCAATTGCCAAAGCTTCAGCTGTTGCCCAGTCCAAGTGTTTATTTTTTGTTATTTTGTTTAATCGAGTTTTTATATGATTTTTTAATAATTTTGGATGAATTATCTATTACGTAAGATATTTAGTTAATTAAATAAATAAAATATTTATAATATTTTTAATAATTAATATATATTTAAGTTCTCATAATGACATATTCTCACCACATTATCCTTAATATGAACACTCTTTTCGGCAATGAATTTCAATAGGTTTAAATCAACTCCTGTGTCCCATTCTGTCACACTTGCCTCAGCTTGTTTTATTCCAGTCCACAAGCCCTCAAAATACGTAGGCTGTGGAATAAAGTTATCCATTTCATTTAAACTTTGATTTAGTTGAGAATTATAATTATCAATAATATTTTTAACTTTATTCGTCGAAAGAACATTGCTTTCTATCAGCTTATTCACATATTTATCTGGTACCGATCTAATTGAAAATAACAAAATTAATTAGATATTTTGTAAGTATAAGTGAAAAATACTCACGAACGATTATGTATAATTTTATAAATAACAGGATTCGTAAAAACAGGATCGTCTAGTTCATTGTGGCCCCATCTTCTAAAGCAATTTAGATCCACGAAAACATCTTTTCTAAATTTTCGTTGGTATTTGAAAGCTATTTTAGCAGCTCGGACAACCATCTGCAACATTACATATTAAAATATTTAAAATATTTAATTTCATATATATTTAAGCGCAAAGACAATTAAAAATTTTCTCTTTTCTATGCACCTCTGGATCATCTCCATTTACGTGAATCACGGGAGCTGAAATCATCTTGGCTAGATCGGTGCAATATCTTGACGATCTACCCCTAGAAGCTGGAGTTGTAAAACCTAATTGATTATTGATTATCAAGTGAACTGTTCCACCTATTTCAAAATGAGGAGTTGCGGATAACGCTAAACATTCTTGATCAACACCTTGAGCAGCGTAAGCTGCGTCTCCATGAATCTGAAATAGAATCGATATATTTCGACAATCTTACAATCTTTAATTTTATTATGGAATTAAATTTAAATTAATTTACTTGAATATTTAACACTTTATCGCTCCATTGAATATTTATATCCTCATTATATGCTCCATCTTTGACAGCTTGCATCATTCCTCGAGTTTTCCCCATGGAAACAGGATTCACAGCCTCTAAATGTGAAGGATTTCGCAACATTGTTACGTGAAGCTTTTTTTGACCAAAATTAAGATTTGTGGAAGATACAAAATGGCTGATCACATCTCCAGTTGTAACTACATCATCCGGAAATTCAGAGTATCCTTGTAATTTTCGAAATAATTTTTCCAGTGGAAAATTCAACATCCCCGTAAGAAAATTTAATCGACCTCGATGGGGCATACAAAGCACGATGTATTCCAAATCATCTGTAATTCATTTATAGATACGTTCATAGTTTAATTTTAAATTTGTTAAGTATATATAAGATGATTCGTGAGAGTTTTTAAACATTAATTTTTTATTCACCATTGGCACAGAGTTTAAAAAATTCATGATAGAAGGCCATCATGCTTTCAGCACCTTCGCCACTATATCTTTTAAAGCTTGCGAATTTGATAGCCAAAAATTGATCGAAAGTTTGACTCTTCAACATTTCTATCGCGATGGCCACTCGCGTTTCATCCGTTAGAGGATCTTTTAAACATTTTTCTACAGTTTCCGCAAACCATTCTCTCTCTTCCTCAGTCTGTATAGACATTAACAGAAATCAGGTATTTATATAGATCTTCTATAAAAAAATAAATGTTAATATTTGAACTTTGATAAATTTTTGATTATTTTAAATTTTGACGATCAATTATTACCTCCAAGTAACTAAATTCTACTCCTATCGAGCCACAATATGTTTTTTTTAAAAATTGTAAAGCCTCTTCTATGGTTCCTTCCTCTTTTCCCATTGTTAAAATACCTTTAAAGGAAACTTTATCTCGCAAATTCAAGCCAAATCTTTCTGGTTTTAATTCTACTAATGATATTGGTTTTTTTGGCGAGATAGGATTTATATCAGCTTGTTTATGACCGAATTCTCTATAGGCAATGACCAGTCTGTAGAAATTGCTATTCTTTGATCGTATATCCAGATATTCTTTTGAAACTAATAATATGAAAAATAATAACGTAAAAAAATCATTTATATAATAAAAAAATCAAAATATTTTTATTATATGTGTAATCTTATCTTGTAATATATCATCATATCATCTTATTTTGTAATATATTAATTTGTAATATGTAATTTATTTTAGTTTTATCGCGAAATTATATCATTAGTTTACGTAATGTTAAAAATTTTCCGATGTTTATTATCATCATTCTAGATTAATATATAAAATGTTTTCAAAATGATTTTTAAATGTTTTATTATTATTTTAAATAAAAATAATTGAAGGATATATATATATATATATTCTAATTATAATTCAATTTATATGTTAAAAACATATAAATTAAACATATAAATTAAATAATAAATAATATGAAAATAAAGTAAAAAATATAAATATAAAACTATAAAATAAAGACATTTCATTAATATAAATATTTATGAATTAATAATTAATTTTAATTATCTCATAGAAATTATATATGAAAAAATTTTTATTTTTTGTCATTTAAAAAATTCATTTATATTAAATCATTATTGTGTATGTATTATTTTTTACAAAAGGAAATAATAAATTTCGTGTTTAAATTTATGCATAGTACTGATAGATAAAAGATTTTTATATAATTTTTGGATAGTTACTTGGATGAAAGCGAGGAATTAAAGTGTGAAATTTTTGAAATTTTAATTTAATATTTTATGATTAAAATATAATTGATATATAATTTTATATTATATTCTTATTTTGGAAATATGAATAACAAAATTTGAAAATACGCATGAAGTAAGAATAGTTTATTTCATAAAAATTTGTATTCTTATTTATAATTTGAAGATGTATCTATAAAACATATTAAATTAGTACTATTACGCGAAAATTTTAATTCTTATATTTGAAATTCAAATTATATTCTTATTCATAAATTTAACATAAATATTAATAGAATATATTAATATTAACAGAGTCAAATTTTATATTTTGACCCCATATCATTTTTATTATTTTTTATTTTAAAAGAAAAAGAATAATAATAATAATAATAATAATAATAATAATAGATATACCTTCAAAATATTTCTGTGGACTCGATCTGTATCCATAGACACCATTTTCACTATGATACAATCGCGTTGAGATATTTAATCGAGAATTTATGCATTTTATAACTAGATAATTATTTACCCATTGAAAACATGAATGTTTGATTTTATAAAATGTTCGTAGAACCGCATGCATTCTTGTTTTCGTTACGAAATCAACTACTTAACTGGCAATTCTCTCTATCGTATTGCTAATTTATTACTTCTTTCCCCTTCTTAATCACTTTATTCAATATTATCTATTTACTCGAGATTGTCTGTATCATAAATATTGTTAATGGTCAATGTATATAAAACGATATTTATATATTCAAATCAAAAATAAAATTTATTTATTCAATGCAAATAGCATCAATACAAATATTATTGATGATTCAAATTTGTTTTCAATATAAAATTTTTTAAATGGTATATAACATCTATACCTCATATATTCGTTAATATAATTTTTATAATCGTAATCAAATATACTAGAAAATTATCTTTGTTTTCTTGAAAATATAAATAAGTTTATCTTAATAAATTTATATTTTTGGATAGGCTGTTTCTATCATGTCACTTTCTTTATACTTAAATTTAGAAGTGACGATATCGAACTTTGTTCCTCCAAGAGACATTGGACAATTTCCGTCAGGCCTTGCATAAAAACACACTGTGTACAATGCCATTTCCAGTTCGGGTGAGGTACCCACGAATAATGTCGTTACCGGTTTAATATATCCATATTGTGATCGTACTTCAATAATAGAAGCTTTCTAAAAAGGAAATAACACATATGAATATAATTAGCCACTATTTGTATGATACAAATTCTCATAAAGTACTATAAACAGTAAATGAAACAGTAAATACTAATAATAGAATAGAATTCATTATATAATAAATGTATATTCATTATATGTTTTTTAAATTAATAGAATCTTAAGTAAATAAATATAAAAAAAATATTCTTTTCATTATTATAATAAAAAAATAATATCAAAATGATCTTAAAAAAGTACTTAACTTACATCTCCGAGGTCAACTTTTTTTGTATATCCATTGTAATTTATGTTTCCTTTGCTTTCTTCTTTACTGTAGAAAATCCAATTATGCAATCCAACCACATTAGTTTCAGTTTTTAACTTCTTAACTTCGGACATGAAAACATGTTCAAAAGCCGAGCTACTAATCTTTTCTCCTTCTTGAGAGTATAAGTTAAACCATAATTTTCGTAACATATCTTTGTACTCGTAATAATCATTGCATATATGATCTTTATTCGCCAAGAATCTCATGGCGGCGGACATCACATTCGTGTTGAGAAAAGTATCTATTAAAGCATTCTCTTCGTGTCGGTGCTGTAGACTTATATTCCTGCTTACATTACCTTGGGTATTGTATTTCTCATACATTGATATGACTTTTTGAATTGTGGGTCCTTTATATGCTTGTGGATTTACCGTGAATAATCTGCAAATTACAATTATTTTAGGAAAATGGAAATTTTTCATTTTTAATAAATTTAGTGACATGTATTATTGGTAGAAACATTGTAAGTAAATGTCTCATTCTCTACGAAATTTTGAAAGCTTACGGTTGTGATGCTTCGTCTGTTGTATCATTACTGTTCGTCTTTTTTTGTAAATTCAATTTGATATATCTATTCACGTTATTAGTATCTTTCATAAATAGAGCCTCAGAAAGCTTTTCTAAATCTTCTTTAGTAATGGTGCGGCCTTTGCTGTAAGTAGGATTACTAGAATAGATATTCTCAGTTGCTCCTGTTAATGGTCCAGATTTTGACGGTTGATCTATTTATTAGAGAAAAATACGATAATCTTCTCTTCTTTCATTAGTTGATAATAAATTTTTTTTCGTCATTATACCTGGCTTTAATTTGTCCAATTTTATTATAGTAGTATCAGAAGTATCAACATGAGGAATATCAAACTTTTTTGGTGATGTACTGGATGATTGAAAGGATTTTGATATTTCTTGAGATAAAAAAATATTATAGTTAAAATCATTTTACTTTATTGCAATAGATGTGTATTATTACTTACCAAGTGTTTGTGCGTGAGATTGAGAGTGAAATTCAGATTGAAGTTCTTGATTTTGTAAGTGAGATTGAAGTTCAGATTTTTGAAGATGAGGTTGAGATTGAGGTTGAGGTTGAGGTTGAGGTTGAGATTGAGGATGAGGATGAGGTTGAGGATGAGAATGAGGTTGAGGATGAGGATGAGGTTGAGGTTGAGGATGAGGTTGAGAGTGAGGTCGAGGGTGAGGTTGAGGGTGAGGGTGAGGGTGAGGGTGAGATTGAGGGTGAGGGTGAGGGTGAGATTGAGGGTGAGATTGAGGGTGAGGTTGAGGGTGAGGTTGAGGGTGAAGTTGAGAACGAGGTTGAGGATGGGATTGAGAATGAGGTTGAGGATGGGATTGAGAGTGAGGTAGAAGAGGGAATTGAAAATGAGGTTGAGATTGAGAACGAGGTTGAGGATAGGGTTGAGAGAAAGGTAGAAGAGGGAATTGAAAGTGAGGTTGAGGATGGGGTGGAGAGAAAGGTGAAAGAGGGAATTGAAAGTGAGGTTGAGGTTGAGGTTGAAGATGAGATTGAGAATGAGGTTGAGGATGAGGATGAGGTTGAGGATGAGGATGAGGTTGGGGATGAGGTTGAGGATGAGGATGAGGATGAGGATGAGGATGAGATTGAGGATGAGATTGAGGATGAGGATGAGGTTGTGGATGAGGTTGAGGATGAGGTTGAGGATGAGGATGAGGATGAGGATGAGGATGAGATTGAGGACGAGGTTGAGGATGAGGATGAGGTTGAGGATGAGGTTGAGGATGAGGANAGGTTGAGGATGAGGTTGAGGATGAGGTTGAGGATGAGGTTGAGGATGAGGTTGAGGATGAGGATGAGGTTGAGGTTGAGGATGAGGATGAGGTTGAGGATGAGGTTGAGGTTGAGGATGAGGATGAGGTTGAAGCTGAGGTTTTTGAAGTTGAGATTGAGAA